TTGTGGAAAATATGATTATATATAATTTAGGAATTTTTACTAAAATATATCATACTTCGTATAAGATTTTATATGATTCAAACATGTTGACTATATATTATTAAAATATCTGACTCCCAATTCACTCTTATCAGCTTCTTTTTAAGCTATAAATATTTAAAAAAGTAAACAAACCCTTTATGTTGAAGAAGATTACACATTCAAACTTGAAACCTACGTAAACTGTCGCGAGTTTCGCATATCAAATACAGAATACCAATATTAACAGAGTATCTATACAAACCACTCAATTTGATATAATCTTACATTAGCCATGATTGTGAAACACATTAGCCATGGTCCTGAAGCACTCAATTGTCAAGATATATGCCCTGAAGACAAGCCGATCTCTGCCGCTGAGCTGGAAAAAGGAAAACAAGCGACGACTTCCTCTCTGATGAGAGACCTGGAAATTATCACTGCTTGGGGACGCAACAATCTTGTACAGTTTAATGCTTTCAAAACACAGTACTTTACCTTGACGAACAAAAACCATCCTAGCGCTCATCCGGTTTCGATGTTCGAGATCTGCCAAAGAGTCATTCATTTCGGCTGGTCGGAGTCCAGATCAACAAGAACCTGATCTGGCAGGAACACATCTCGTCAATAGCGGCAGCTGCTGGGAAAAACCTAGCCTATTTGTAAAGTACTTTTCTCTGCATGACCTTCCCACTCTATACAAGGCCCAGATAAGGCCTAGCCTCGAGTATTGCTCACACGTTTGGGGTGCTGCCGCCCCGACTACATTATTGATTCTCGGTGCTGTCCAGAGGAGGGCTGTCCGACTGATCGATGACTCTTCTCTAACAGACAGTCTCGGGACGATTTCGCAGAAGCGGGTTGTCGGCGATCTAGCTCTCTTCTACCGCTACACTAACGGGCTTTGCTCCTCAGAGCTCTTTTCCATGATGCAGCCGCGCGATGTGCCTGCCAGACAGACCCGCCTGACTTTGGCGTCCCGAACTAACCGTGTCGAACTTCGTACATGCAGAACTGGCCGATACGACCGTTCCTTTGTCCCGAGGATGTCGAGATTGTGGAACAATCTACAAGAGGAAGCTTTTCCCAGTTCTACTAACCTTAGGCAGTTCAAAAATCGGCTTAACAATATTTCTTTGGGATCATCATAGCAGCCGCGGTGTCCCGGCATTTAGGCTTCTGCCTGAGCGGCTTCTTCGGTATATAAAAAAAATAACAGGAGCAGGTAATCTATATTCTGTCTATCTCTAATCACCATGGGTTGGCAGTGGAATGAAGTGCCTTCAACTCTGCTTGTTTCATGTTTCATAGCGCTCCAAATATGTGACTGTTGAACCAAGTAGAAATCCTCAATAGTCGCAATGTTCTAAGAAATATATCCTTCCAATATAGAATCTCTAAACCTTTTTTCAAGGCATCAGGATGCTCCGTTTGTTGATTACAATCACCTAAAAGAAAATGAGTTCAAAGTTCATCAACTCAACAAAACATGTGGTTTAAATAAATATGTCTTCCATAAAGCTTGTGGCACAAATAAAAGAGAGGCTAGCTTCGGTTTTCGGCGAAAAATGACAGCAATAAACCGTCATACGTGCCAAAGTTGCCATTTCTTCTGGATGCCACAGCATTGTCAGGTTGTGGTCCGGCAACACCGCACGGTTTCCCATTCTCCCATATGAGTTGACGTCCCATGCTGTATACTCGTAGATCTCAGTCGGCGAATTGGAGGCCCAGCCATCACGTGACCGCTTTATGTCTTCTTCGATAGATCTTACACTTTGGCTAGTGTATATAGTTGCTATGCTTCCGTTGCCTAGACCACGTTGAGGAGTAGCCAACGAACACGAGGCAGCTATCCATGGTTAGCTGTCTTTGGTCGGACGGACCAAAGGCAAAGCATTTTTTTTTCAATTTTGTTCAATGGCAAGTACAGCCCATCTACAACACAGCTAGAATCGTGGCCATCCATCAGTCACGTGGAGACGACACTGTTCGAATTAGTTTATAAATTTTGGAAAATACAATACACTCTAAGGTGTAAGGTGGGTAAACCCTGGACAGTCATACCCTTTGTTTATTACAAAGTCGTATTTGCGATGACAATTTTTTTCTGTACACACTAATATCCATCCAACTCAAGAACACAGAAGTCTTATTAGCTTCGGTCGTCGACGTTGAAGTTATTATGAGAGTCCACAGCAATACGTAAGTTTTGAAGTAAGTAAATCAGCATTTTCCTTATTTATGAATTGTATACGTATTATGATTTGATTTACATATAAGTATTTGCTATAGCATTAAAAAAAAATGTTACTTTTTTCCATTTTAGTTGAAATATCGATATTGTTCTTAGGAAAACCAATGCTCTCTTGTAAGACCGTTAAAAAATTGATTGCTATGACACAAATGGCTTTAATTAATATTAAATATTAAAACTTTAGTTGTAGGGGCAAGTTGGGTATATTTTATCGGTTTTTAAGTTGTATCACCTCAATATTTATTTAATCTAGAACAATTTGACCTTGCAAGGTACGGATCCATAAAATGCCAATTTGGCCAGTTTATTCAATTTTTGATTCCATTATACATGTTATTGATAACCTATTGTACATCGATATGATGCCAAAATTATTTTTAGGACCTTCCCACGGATACGCTCTTTGTTTTACGTTCAAGTACTGTTCGTTAAGTATTTTTATGAGAATATATTATTATAAGTATTTATTGTTTAATTTTAATGATAGAAATTATTATGCAGTTTCAGTAATATGGTATTCCCGCATATTTTAAGCACAACGTTGGTTTTAGGCTGATCAACCTTGTATGTTTTTCAAGTTACAGCATAGTTCTTCTCAATAAGATTGTTTGATTTATTCAGTAAATAGAGGAATGATAACTGTATGTTACATCTTATTATTAGGTGAAAATGCTATGCAGGGTCGTGTTTTACGGTTACACGGAGCAGGTTACTCTTTAGAAGCGACTTTGCTTTGCCAGCTATGCGTATCTATCTTATGTTAGGGTCAGTTTGAAGCACAGTAAAACAACTATGACTACGATTCATGTTTAGAAGCCATTTTCCATCATACGGAATAAGTATTAAAAAAATTGACAGTAATTTTATATATTTGCTTCATTGAGAGAAGAAACTAATTATTCGAAACAAAAGAGGTTACAAACTAGAAACTGGGTTTGATATAAATTCAGCAGCAGCCTCCGATAACGCCACTTAAAAAATAAACAACAATCTAAAGCTTGAATGCACATACGAGGTCTGTACATATATTAAGTGATAGAACCGATTGTTTAATTTTTGTTTTATATTCAAATATAATTACAAATTTATACTGTCACCATCAAAACAACTTTCTTCTGAGCCCACACAGCGTTTGAGACGTATCTTCCACTCCTCATAGCAGTGCTGGAACTCCGATAGCTTTCAGCTGGTTGATTACAGCCGTTTGAATGTTTTCAACTGTCCCAAAATGTAATTTTTCAACTTCAGGAAGAGAAAAGGTCACAAGTGCTCAAGTCAGGCGAATAAGGAGCCTGGGAAGCCACAGGAATGTTTTAGTGGTCAAAAACTCATTTATTGACATTGCTGTGTGACAAAGAGTATTATTGTGATGCAACGCCCAGTTGTTCTTGATTTGTTGAAATGTGGTGTGAGTCAAATTTAAGTCCAACTATGCTGACTGTTAACCAATGATCTGATTATACAACATCCCCGATTCGGTCCATATTTTCATCGCTTCTTGAAGATGAGGACCTTCCGCTTCGTAGTTCATTTTCAATCGACCCTTCCTCTTCTGAAAATGCCGAAAAATCTGGGCTATTGACAAAACACTATCTCCGTAAGCCTGCTGAAGCTAAGCAAGAGTTTTGTGATGTGCCCAAGTCTGAAGCAAGATCTGATGATAGCAGAAACGAGATCATAATCGTAGAAAAAATCTAGTTGGAAATTTTCTCCCACGAATGTGAGGGTCTATAATGATCGAATAGTTGCATCAAATAAGAGCAAGTAAAATAGTCCAACCCTGAAGATACATCCTTGCACTAAAACGGGCCGACTGACCATAGGCGTAACAACCGCCGTATCAGCCGTATTAGTAATACAGGGCCCCGACTGTGTAAGAACTAAATCATTCACAATCTCCACGTACAAATAGAAAATTATTGATGAGCAAATGTTGTTTGATTATAACGATACTTATATGTAAGTCACAAATAAGCTTTGCTGTAGATTGGAATTTTTGAGCTCTATAATAACATTTTTGCCTACGCTTCAACCTAAAGTGAACAGAAGCAACAAAAGAAATATTTCCAAACTTTTCGAAATTGTCTCTCCGAAATGTTTTCAATTAAACCCAAAAATTTTCAAAACGTTATGAAGCATACAAAAGCCAATTTCGGGAACGGTGTGAAGCTGTTTTGTTTTCTGCTCAAAATACTGCTGACACTTGAACAATGTTCAAAAATTAAATAACATTTCCTATTATGACGCCACAGTATGCTACTCTAAAAATTTCATCAAAATCGGTGTAGCCATTTCTGAGATTTCAGATTACGATAGTAACATAATGCCAACATACAGACGAGCAACGGAAATGAGTGATATGGATTTAAATGTTATGGATATCGCAAACAATAAAAAAACTTGTTATTTACTGTTCTTTTTCCTGCGATTACAGAGCCTTCCTCCCTTATGCATGGGGAAGTAAGTGGTAAAAGCCTCATATTTATATCTTATTAGTTACTACGCAAATATTTTTTGAAAGCATTTTGTCAAATCTTTATCTAGATTCTTACCTACGTGTGGAGTTAGCCCCCTGACAAATTTTGATTTGGGGCTCCTCTGGAGCAAGCTATGCCACTGCGACTGGCTACTACAGTGTTTCTTGAGGATGAAATGGCAGGCATTCTTGCGGATGACGGTGATCATCTTCATGATGGACGTTTTTAGGGATTGAGGGAACGAGCGGCTATTTCTGGAAACGGCAATTTGGATCATCGTTCCTGCTTCTATCAAGCGAACAATGCTGGATTTTCCTGTTATTTGATATGGTGAAAGGCGCTTTTAGACTGTTACTTCTCGTCGGAAATGCCTTGAATTCCTGATTTGGCAGTAATGGGTTCTTCTGCCATTTTTGTTTTAACACAATGCGAACGTTATGATACAGTGTAGCTATAAATTGAGACATTTAAAAAACAGTTTCCATGATTTTTACTTAGGAAACAGATCTACGAAGTAAAATCTATAGAGTCAGTACCTCTGACAAAAATTAAAAACTTGACTGGCGGACGGATGACCCTTGTACCCTTAGGGTACAGCCTAAATGTGATTATAATATTAAATCTAATTTAAAAATGAACAATTGATTGTTAAATAACAAAATTTATTCTTCTTTTTTGTCTTCATGCGAATCGATTTATGACCTCTTCCGTATCGACATGTACATCTTTATGGACGTGTAAAAGTACCAGTCTGGTAAGGCGATCTTCTACCATAGAGTTTCTCAACCACGTCTTGAGTCTCCTGAGCATAGAAAAGGACCTCTCTAGTGTCGCTACACTAACTGGTAGTGTAGCAAGGATACATAAAAACTTTTTGATGGTAGGATACATTTCGGCATCAGAATTTTCAATGAGATCGGGAATTGATAACGGAATATTCTTCATTCTTTCGCTGCTAATTTGATTCAGGATATTATTTTCAGGTTTATGATACGTGAATAAAAAAGTTCTTTCCTAATTCGACAGCTGTTTCGTGGTACTGATTCCGATGATGTATCAGGAGGACACTATTTTCACCAAGCAAATTATCATAGGCCTTTAGTGGCTCTTTGACAAGACGTTTTAGTGGTGTGTTTGATTGTATGCCACCTCCGGATGCTATTGCAAACAAAACACAATATTTCTAGTAAAGGCCCTGACCTGTATGTGATAAAACAAGCCAATGAAACTTCTCAAAATGAGACTTCTGTGCAATTTTTTTTAGTTGTTTCCCTTTTTTATTGACAACACAGTGTGAAAAAATATAATTCAGTGAAGGCACCCAAGGCTTTTCAAGTAGCATTGCTCTTGTTGAATTATCTATGCCTTTTCCTACGTACCATCCAATATCTGAGGAAAATTCAGATTGTGAAAGCGAGTTGTTCATCAGATCATAATCAGAAGACGACGGATGCGATGTCTGCATGCACTGAACATCATTCGTAATAGAAGCATACTTTTTTCTTTACTAGATTTAGAAGCACCGGTATGAGCAGTATTTTTTTCTTCACTGGTAGCTGTAGAAGCATAGCTGAAATTTGTTTCTATAGGCAAAATCTTCGTCTCTTCATCAATAGCAATATCAACCCGGGGCTTTTTAGCAAAACATGAATCTATTTTTCTAAACCTCTATTGCGTTTTGATCTAGCATCAACTTTTTCTCTAGAGTCACCCTATAAAATCATACAAAAAAAAATGCAGAATACTTTCTTGCAACGGCTATTTATTCAAATTTCAAAATAGGGGACAAAAATTCGCTATTCTTCGGACTATTCTAAGGGTGGATTTCACCAAGGTTGTCAAATGAACAGTCCGTTATTCTCCACCTATAGGGTAACAGTCCGTCAAATACAACGAATGAGCTTCAACATCCAATCAAGTATGAGATGACAGCTTGTCCTTGAAACATCACCAGCTTATTGAATATTAAGAAATTACATATAATTCAGTCAAAATTTAAATAAATGTTTGATTTTTGAATAACATGCATGTTTTAATTACTACTGTTGATTTGTTATTCATGTTTATATTATTTTCTTCACTTGATATGCGATTTTATTGATTTAACATCACCTCCCGTGTTTTTTTCCTATAAACCTCTTGCAGATAGCCAACCTACTTGATGACAGACTACCAAAGATTTCATAGGTATTGCTCGTTTCCAAACATTCATTCATTTACTTGCCGTTCATCAGAACCATTATGGCATCTTAAATTGATATTTCCACAAAACCATTCAGGTTTTTTGATATCCATAAAGTTGAATATTTTTCGTTGTTCAGGAACTGAACAAAAATCCACACTATATTTACAGCGATTAAGAAATACCCAAATATATATCTCCAAGCTACCAGCAAACCTAAAACCTGCAAAAAACACTAGAAATTTTCTTTTTTCACGAGTACACATTCTGGTTATATAATTAGACATTATTTGAATAACAGCTGATTATTGCATTTCAAGACTCCCCGAGTGACTGACACATGTGTGGGATCCGTCAACCCTTGGTCCCGGTCATAAAACATATACACTGAAGAAGGTTCAATTCCATGCTATTCAATGACAACACTGTGACTTGTGTGGTTGTCAGCGGCCATTTTTTGAGGGTGCGACATGGCTGCCAGGTTGTGCATTAATATCCCGTTTCATCCCCCTGGTCCCAGTGGAGTACGCTCAGCTATCAGTTGAAATATACTCTACTATGCTTTATAAGACTATTTGTGGAATGTTTCCCCAAAATCGTTGCACAACACTTGAAAAATGCAAAATGAAAATTTAAAATTATTTACATGACGCCCCAAAATAGCTGCGTCGGTACCTCGGGTGATACATCTTGACTGTAGGGATGTTCGATACGATCCTATATTTAGAAGTATCAATACTTTTGCTTCCGTTACCCGATATTTTGGATCGATATTTTTATATACGACACTTGGGTGTATCGATACATTTCGCGAGTATCGTCATCTTACGATCCGTACTGTGTCAGAAAGAGTAACTAAATTCAGATTACTTTTCTTCTTTGTTTCCTTACGCTGGATATCGATAATTTTATTCCAATATTTTAGAGTATCGATACTTCCTAAAACGATAAAAATCGATACATAACGATACTTTTCGTGGATCTAAAGATCCCTAATCTTGACAGCTTGTCGTTCTAGTCAACTGGGCTGCAGGGTGAGGTGTTGCCTTTATTATCTTACATTTTTCTGAAATCTTATGACAAATAAAAGCTTCGGATGATATATTGACGAACATGAACGGATATGCATAGAATTTAGAATATACATTCATATTGCAAATTTCAGATTGTCTATGCATGGACTTGAACCGGATTTTTCGGTATTTTTACCGAAAAGAGAATATTTACCGATAACATCATTCTCCACGATTTTTCAAAATAATTTAAATATTTCTATACTTGCCAAAAATAAAGCTAAAAATTAATTTTATGGAGTAATCATGCCCCATATCAATCATACATATGCATACATACTCAGGCAGTCGGGCACATGAGAGGCGTAGATTTGGGTTGCCTATGATTACGAACGCACATCCTCATCCCTTATCCGCTTGCCCTGAATTGATTTTTGTGCATACAAAAGGTACCGACTGGTAGATTATTGTCATTACGTCATCACCAGACAAGCAATAAAGAAACCGAAACCTGTCTGTTTTCAAAGTAATGATGATGACCGATGCGCTGTTGTCAAGTGTGTTTTAAATATTCAATTTGCTGAAACTTACTTTCTTACTGACTACAAATTTTGGCTTAACTCAGAAAAACTTAATGCCATTTATTTGTTAATTACCCAATTTAAAAACGTTTTAGATTAGATTATAAAAATTAGTAATATTGTGGTGATTGTGATCGATATAAAACACTTAAAGCTGTAAACTATAAAGCCGTTTAGACAAAAATCTATTAACTTTTGGACCATGGGTCATATGAACTTTTTGACTAGTTTTGACCCCCCCCCCTATTACCCATTTCAATATTGACTACCATAACGTTAACACGCTGCAGAACTATGCCCTCAAAAAACATGTTGTGTGCGCGCCCAAAACAATAACAGACGTTTTTCATGACTCAAAGGTCCTTGATCTACCACTGATCTTGGGACGGCATTTACCTTATACCGAACTCAACGATACTATTTACCGATTCCGTTTTTTTTCCGGTTTGGCAACACTGCAGATTACTTTAAAAGCAATTGATATCCCAGACGTGTTATATTAATAGAAATAATAAGAAAATATAACAATGTTTGGAGATATATTTTCATAAATAGGTATTTTTGATTCTGACATAATATCTAGACGATGAATAATAAGTGGATGCGGATACTTTTACAAATATCGATGTTTTTGTTCCCAGAAATGCAGAATGTGCTGTTTGTTTACATTTGGTGTGGATTTCTAGATCATAAATTGGCAAAAATTGTTTTTGATGTAACAAAAGATGATGAACCAGTTGGAATACGTTTTATATCCTTTTTTTTGTAAAATAACACAAATCGGTACATTTCTACAGGTACGTATTATGTACAACACCCTGTACGTGATATACAGACAAAACTAGATTGCCATGCATGAACAGTCGTCAAAACCAGTGAAAATATCCTACCAAATATAATAGCTAGAAAATCAACCTATTATTTGGCGCATTCCCATTGGTCCCACTTAAATAAGTGACGGTCTTTTCTAAAATGATAAAAACTTGAAATTCTATGAAAGTTATCCTAATTCTATAGCACAAAGACATAATATTACATCTATAATGTACCCTTATTTATAAGGCTATCGTTTTTTCACGACTTTATTCAACATTTCAATAGAAATCGCTGATATTCAGAGAGCTTTGACAGCGTCTGTCAAATTGCATTTCGATAAGGTCTTTTCCTATTGGTCCAAGGGATCTTTAAATATTAATGTTTTTGAAATTGGCCCTAAGAGTATTTTGTTCAGTGACAATCTGACAATTTTTGGAATACCGCGATGTTTTGGAGATCTAGGCCTCTGACGGACGCCTCTGGAAATAGTTTTTCTGGCTCTAGAACAACATCGTGTAACCCAATGAAGCAGCATATCTAGTTATAACCTCACATCATGGTGCCCATGGAAAACAGCTAATTTACTTAGTTCGTAAAGAACGGAATAGATTTTACAAAACTTCAAATTTTGTTTACATCCTGTATAACAATGGTTCAAGTATGATCTTTTTTATCTCATAATTCTGCATCTGAAAAAATGTGTTACAATTGTGTTTCTTTGTTTGACTCCGATATAATGAACCGCTTTTGAGTAAAACAGGCTAATTATTTTGGTACAGTTTTATAAATTATGATAACGATTCCCATATACTCTATTTCCCTCGTTTATAAAATTTGGAAACTATCATAACAGATACGT